CAGTTGTCGGACTTAACCTCACCTCGTTCAGGATATTTCGTGAGTGCGCCGGAATGGCGGCGCGGAAATGGTTCCTGCTCGTGGGCGAGAACGGCAAGGATCTCACATCGACGACTTCTGTTGATGTGGATGTTGAAGATGTGGATACGTTCCGAAAGGCAGTGAAGAAAGAGTGTCCGAGCGCTCTCGCGAACGTCGATGCTGTCGACCTCACAGTCTTTGTGAACCGTGCGGAGTACGATGCGAAGCGAAGCGTGGTGCTGCCCCATTCGTGGTCCCCAGTGACGGCGTATGGGAATAATGGAGAGAATGCGCTCATTGTGCAAGTGCCGAAGCGCGCAGAAAGCGATTCACGTTATTTTATCCAGCCAAACGTTCAAGAACAAGTCGAAAAGGCAGTATTTGTGATCGTGGAAGAAGACGGAGAACGCAACGGTGTTGGAATGGGTGTGTTTTTCAGCTCGACTCTAGCGGTGACATGCGACCATAACCTAACGGAGCAACACACTGTGGGAAGCATGGTGTCTGTGGCGTTGAAGGAAGGTATTGAAGTTGTTGAAGTTGTTGCTCGCAGTTCTCAGCTGGACTTTGCGATTCTGAAGTCGTCCAAACCCAGATCATTCTTCATTCCTCCATGGAATGGAAGACCAGATGAACTAAGAGGACGCTATGATCTTGTGTTGGCATCGTATCGACTCGGTATTGACGAATACCAAGACGTGTTCAAGAATCAACTGGGATTTGCTCCGGTAGCCGGCATCTCCATCAGTGCTCACAGAAGACACATCATGTATTCGTGCCCAACGTACGCTGGAGATTCTGGTGCTGCACTTCTTATCAAGGATGGATTTCTTGTCGGTATCCATCTGGATACGGTCAATGCACTCCGCGAAGAGATGGACCGCAAGAAAACCATCAAGGATCGCCTGAATGATGTGGAGGAGTCTCTGGACAACATTGCGAGAAGCGGACTAGCGCAAGGCTGCTCTTTTGGTCTTTTGGCTCATGAGTTCAAGGACGTAGTGAGCGAGTAGTGCGAATTGACGAGTTCATAAATTAATGGCACATCTCAGTCACGAAAAAACGGTGTCACAACGAATGTTACATCCTCGGTGGCCAAAGTCGGAGGGTGCAGTCCGCAAGAGATTGCTGGACGTCTGATTAACGCATTGCCCAGACCAATGGTGAGTACAAATCCACCGACAGAGTTGCAGGAAACCCTACCGGGAGCGCCATCCGTGGCGGAATACCAAGGATTCGACGTCCGTCCAACTGGATCACCGTGCTTGGAGCGGCGATTGGAAGTGGAGCCAGCTGCACAAGTGGATGGACGCGAGCATCATACAGCTTGTATTCGGCATTCGCAAAGTCGGGATCGAATGACACACATAGCTCATATTCGACTCCTGGCATCGCGGCCCATGTCGCAATCGCCTTGTGGTCGAGCTCTCCAGGTGCCATGCCCCATTGCTGAGAAACTCCAATCTCAACCTCAATCGTCCGAAAGTCTGCAAATATTGGAACGTTTGGAGGAAGCACCGAGCCGGGTGTTTCTTCGCGTGGTCCATAACTGAGATCTGAGCACCTTTGTTGCCCTTGAGAATTCTTGGCGGCCAAGTGGCCTTTGAGCCATCGCTTGACATGCCGCTCACGAAATTGATCGTTTAGCTCTCCAACGTAATTTTCGTGTGGAGCGTCGGCAAACTCGATGATGTGAATCTCTTTCGTGTCAGGAAACCATTCAAGATAATTGAGTCGAACGATTGGATCCTCGCTGTCTGCAAACGCGTTCCACTCGTCTTCCGTTGCGTGGCACACACGCACTGTACCGGTCGGCGGTGGAGGATGTGCCACTGCAGCTTCCAGAGCAGCGTTGATGCGATCGATGCTGGAGAGCAGAGGAGTCATTGACGCCGGTGTGACTGCGTCTGTCGCAGCGACAGCTTGATTGGGGGCACCGTAGCTACTGCAGGTGACGAGTATGAGTCCCGTCCCCAAAGAAAGCAAGAATGATGTTCGTCTTGTCCCAGAATGGGCATCGAGAATGTTCGTCTTGTCCGCTCGTCGTCCGCTCAACATCCGCCCAACCATCTCAACGGGAGTACCCCTAGACACCCTTGGAAGTACTACATGGTACAGGCTGTACTACATGGTACATCTTTGCTCTCTGAGGGTGTCTAGGGGTAATCTCGATTACTTTTAAGGGGTATGAAGAGCGGACGATGAAACATAGACGATACGCACCGTCCTCTAAAACCTCAGCTGAGTGCTATTTCATGACAGTGTAAGATTGAAGGATGGCGCGGAAATGGTTCCAGCTCGTAGGCGAAGATGGGAACGCGGTAACGTCGACTGATGCTGTTGTCGTGGATATCGAAGATGTGGATATGTTGCGGCATGCGGTGAAGGAGCAGCTCAGAGACAGTCACCTCGCAGGGATTGCTGCGTCCGATCTCACAGTCTTTGCGAACCGGGCGGAGTACGATGCGAAGCGAAGCGTGGTGCTGCCCCATTCGTGGTCCCCAGTGACGGCGTATGGGAATAATGGAGAGAATGCGCTCATTGTGCAAGTGCCGAAGCGCGCAGAAAGCGATTCACGTTATTTTATCCAGCCAAACGTTCAAGAACAAGTCGAAAAGGCAGTATTTGTGATCGTGGAAGAAGACGGAGAACGCAACGGTGTTGGAATGGGTGTGTTTTTCAGCTCGACTCTAGCGGTGACATGCGACCATAACCTAACGGAGCAACACACTGTGGGAAGCATGGTGTCTGTGGCGTTGAAGGAAGGTATTGAAGTTGTTGAAGTTGTTGCTCGCAGTTCTCAGCTGGACTTTGCGATTCTGAAGTCGTCCAAACCCAGATCATTCTTCATTCCTCCATGGAATGGAAGACCAGATGAACTAAGAGGACGCTATGATCTTGTGTTGGCATCGTATCGACTCGGTATTGACGAATACCAAGACGTGTTCAAGAATCAACTGGGATTTGCTCCGGTAGCCGGCATCTCCATCAGTGCTCACAGAAGACACATCATGTATTCGTGCCCAACGTACGCTGGAGATTCTGGTGCTGCACTTCTTCTCAAGGATGGATTTCTTGTCGGTATCCATCTGGAAACGATCAATGCACTCCGCGAAGAGATGGACCGCAAGAAAACCATCAAGGATCGCTTGAATGATGTGGAGGAGTCTCTGGACAACATTGCGAGAAGCGGACTAGCGCAAGGCTGCTCTTTTGGTCTTTTGGCTCATGAGTTCAAGGACGTAGTGAGCGAGTAGTGCGAATTGACGAGTTCATAAATTGATGGCACATCTCAGTCACGAAAAAACGGTGTCGCAACGAATGTTACATCCTCGGTGGCCAAAACCGGAGGGTGCGTCAAACAAAATGATACTTACGAACCATTTAGAGTTATCGAGATAATCGGGCTAAGAGTTGGCCTATTGGTTTTCGCACTTAACCGAAACAGTGACATTTATTGTAAACTTACATCGAAAAAACTGTAAGACTACCCTTTTCCAATTGCTTTTAACCGGAGCTTTTAAATAACACTTGAATTTTTAAAATTGAAAAAATATTGAGCTCACAACACTCCTAAATGTATCGTCATTTCGAGGGCCCATAATGAAACTTGCCAATTCCCTTGGTGTCAAAGTAGATCAAATTGATTTCAAACAGCATTTGAATAGACACAAGGACTAATGTAGTCTAAACATGGGAGCGCCTCAGATCGGCGAGACACATTGGCTAGCAGTCTCAAACAAACATAAAGCTTACTTTGATCCCCTCGGCTTGCCAATACCACGTGTGATACCAAAGGTTATTCCTATCGCGAAGTTAATATTCAGAACCCTCGATTTGGACATCGTGGGCAGTATTGCGTCCTGTGGCTGTACTATCTACAGCACAATAAAGTAAATGGATTCTATAAGCTCTTTACAGTCTAGTAATCATTTTTGCTGGGGTTATATAGAGATCCATCTCACAAGCTTGGATTACAAGATCATCGATGAATACGAGAATTATGACAAGTTCTTTGTGAAGGTGGTTGGTCAAGGAGAAGCTTTCTGGTGTTATTTCATTTGCTATGATTTAGACGAGAACGTGTTTGTTTTACAGGTCGATTAAATGCATTGTCGTGAGCATCCATTCAAATATGTAGAACGCATTATGATAGGCTCCGACTGTTGCGAGCTCGAGATGTAATACAAACTTACTTTGTTTTAATATACACACGCAATGAATGTTGAATATATTGAAACGCACGAGCCAGAGCCAATTTGCATTGATGAGAACTCCTATGTACACATGGCCAACTCTTAAATCAAAGCCAGAAGTCATTGTTGAGTCAAAACTTACTCTGGATGACTTAAATCGCATTACCAAGAATACTTCTCCAGCCAAGGTTTATATGGTGGAAACACCAAGTCTTGAGCTTGCGCGCTAAGTACCAGTGAGGTTCATCATTTTTTATGATGTCGTACTCAGGAATTTCCAGCAGATGACACATTAGCGGACTCATCAGTTTATAGTGTCATCGCTAAATATTGTATGAGTACGACACATTAGCGGAATCGACATTATCGAAGTGTCCATGTGTGAATTATTTTGTATCTTGTATCGAAACACGGGGGTATTGCTATGTTTCGATACACCTAGATGACGAGCTAATTGTTGTGAGGCATTGTGTCCGGCTTGCGTCCAGCTATTATGTCCATCTTTCTTTTCATTAGAAGCCGTGATAGCAACACTAGATCAATCTATATATCTTAGTGTAGAAGTGTTTCGTAACTGGAACATGTTGCTTCTGATAACTAGAATGAAGGTGGTCGCCTTTTTTTGTCGGTACAATACCGGCTTTACGGGGCGGTTTCGTTCATGAATTCATGATTGTTTTTGTCCAATCAGATCATGAATTCATGGTATATCGGTGAATGTGAGATCGCGACGGCACCCTCCGATTTTGGCCACCGAGGATGTAACATTCGTTGCGACACCGTTTTTTCGTGACTGCGATGTGCCATTAATCTATGAACTCGTCAATTCGCACTACTCGCTCACTACGTCCTTGAACTCATGAGCCAAAAGACCAAAAGAGCAGCCTTGCGCTAGTCCGCTTCTCGCAATGTTGTCCAGAGACTCCTCCACATCATTCAAGCGATCCTTGATGGTTTTCTTGCGGTCCATCTCTTTGCGGAGTGCATTGATCGTTTCCAGATGGATACCGACAAGAAATCCATCCTTGAGAAGAAGTGCAGCACCAGAATCTCCAGCGTACGTTGGGCACGAATACATGATGTGTCTTCTGTGAGCACTGATGGAGATGCCGGCTACCGGAGCAAATCCCAGTTGATTCTTGAACATCTTGGTATTCGTCAATACCAAATCGATACGATGCCAACACAAGATCATAGCGTCCTCTTGGTTCATCTGTTCTTCCATTCCATGGAGGAATGAAGAATGATCTGGGTTTGGACGACTGCAGAATCGCAAAGTCCAGCTGAGAACTGCGAGCAACAACTTCAACAACTTCAATACCTTCCTTCAACGCCACAGACACCATGCTTCCCACAGTGTGTTGCTCCGTTAGGTTATGGTCGCATGTCACCGCTAGAGTCGGCCTGAAAAACACACCCATTCCAACACCGTTGCGTTCTCCGTCTTCTTCCACGATCACAAATACTGCCTTTTCGACTTGTTCTTGAACGTTTGGCTGGATAAAATAACGTGAATCGCTTTCAGCGCGCTTCGGCACTTGCACAATGAGCGCATTCTCTCCATTATTCCCATACGCCGTCACTGGGGACCACGAATGGGGCAGCACCACGCTTCGCTTCGCATCGTACTCCGCCCGGTTCGCAAAGACTGTGAGATCGGACGCAGCAATCCCTGCGAGGTGACTGTCTCTGAGCTGCTCCTTCACCGCATGCCGCAACATATCCACATCTTCGATATCCACGACAACAGCATCAGTCGACGTTACCGCGTTCCCATCTTCGCCTACGAGCTGGAACCATTTCCGCGCCATCCTTCAATCTCACAGGCAACTTCCAGAATGAACTGTCATGAAATAGCCTCAACTGAGGTTTTAGAGGACGGTGCGTATCGTCTATGTTTCATCGTCCGCTCTTCATACCCCTTAAAAGTACCCCTAGACACCCTCAGAGACAGCGATAATGTTTTACCGGTAATACCATGCATTAATATTAATAGTACATCACCATGTAGTACAGTCCTGTACGGTACAGGACATGGTATTAATACATCATCGAACTACATAGTACAGTGGTACAGTGTACCAATGTGGTACAGTGTACCATGTAGCTCGATGATGTATTAATACAATGGTACAGTGTACCATGTAGTTTGATGATGTACTAATACCATGTACCGGTAATCATGAATATAAGATATGCGTAAAGAAACCGGTTTTATACCGGATTGGACCGGATTCTATTGTGACATTGCATTTAGGGTCGCTCTTAACCACATGCCATGGCACGAAATGCTGTGATCCGATTGGATGAGCGCTTGCTAGGGCTAGAGTTTTAAGTAAACTAAATGACAGGAAGTGCCACGGATGGCATTTGCAAGTGCCATGGCAAAGGGCAATTGCCACGTGCCATGCTATTTTTATCTTCAATAATGTATGCTCTAAAAACAATTTTAAATGATGGCACAATGGCAGGGCAATTCTATTCGTAACCACGCCATGCCATGGCTCAATTTCTAGTGCCATGGCATGGCACGCGTGGCAGTGGTTAAAATTCACCCTAAGAGTGAAGACTGCGTGAGTATTTTTTTTAATACTCACAGATTTTTTATAAAGAAAAAACATACCACGACAAGGGCCGTCGTGTATGTCACATCTCTTGAATGTGTGGGTATGTGAGTATTATAAAATAGCCCTTTTCAGCCACTCCATATACTTTGCTTTTATGAAGGGGTCTGTTGTTTGTCGCCTTCAAACAAAATGTAGAAGTGAACTTATTTATCTTATGTACTAGCAATATGCATGACTACTGAAAGGTCGTCCGTTCTGCAACCACAAGCTGAAGTGTCGTCCGTTGTAAACTTCAACGTGTTGCACTTGTACTAAAGCAAGTGCTGAAACCGCTGAGCTGAAACCTCAGCGGTTGCTGCACTTTGTAGCATTAGCGACAGCACTTCCCCCTTCGATGACATAGTCGAAGCGCTTGGGCTCAATGCGATCTTGTAGTCTATTGTCTACGTAATCCGGAGCACTCTACCCAGATCTCTCACTTTGCTCTGCTTGCGGTTATTCTTGACAAAGGCTCGCACAGCCACTGGGACGTCTTGTAGCAGCATGTCTGCTGGTTCCCAGGAGTCCTCTTGATTACTCAGACCTCTCCAGCGCACCTCACTTTCATGGCGCTTTGCCTCCGAGTTGTTGAAGCCCTAAGCAGCTTGTCAACAACGTGCCCTTCACTGTTGTGAGCAACGTGCTTCAACATGTCCTCACTCACATTCAGAGAGCTGTCTGCGTAATACTTACGACGGCTAGAATGAGCTTTACGTCGCTGCCCAGTGATGAGGTTTTCTATCTCGAAAATCCAATTGGAGACCGTCCCTGTCACTTGTGCCGGTCCACACCACTTAACTCGCAGTTTACTGCGTGTATGCTACCAGACATCGGCGTACAGCACGTAGTCACCGATGTCGAGCTGAGCCATAGCTGTTCCTAGCTTTCTTCCGAGCTGCAGCTCGTACCTCCCGGCTCACTCGGTTTGTACGACGATGCATTTCATCAAGTGCTTTGCGCAGATTTTTCACGTGGTCTTGCTGCGATGCCTGTATACTTTCCAGTGTAGCCATTTCAGTCGGTCCTGGAACCGCGAGGTTATCGGTTGGAGACATTGCCGGTAGTCCCGTCATCGTCGCAATGAGGGCCACTCCTCCTAGCGATGGCGACGGTAAGCTGTTGAGCACCATCTGCACGATCTCCACCACTCGAGGCCATTCCTGTGGCCGCATTCTCCATTTGGTTAGAAGGGCACGGCAAAAGCGGAGCGCTTAGCGCGTCACCACTTCCACGGTGCCGTTTGACCACGGGCATCTTGCCGTTGTGAAGTGGTGGCGCGCACCTAATGCGTGTTGCAAGGCCTCAATGGTTTTATTCTTGAAGTGTGTGCCCTGGTCGCTGATCCCACTTCGAGCGAAGCAAACCACTCAAGCAAGCCGTTGAATGTTGTGTCTGCATCTGCTGTAGCACACGGTAGCCGCCACACGTACTTGGACGCATCGTCCTTAATAACCAGAATGTAGGTCTCTCCAGAGTCACTGACTCCCATGAACAAATAGTCCTAGTGGATGAGCTCGTTCGGGTGCTCTGCGTGCATTGCTTCGCCTAATACTCTAGGTTGTGGTGGTCCACTGAGTGTGCTCGCGCAGTGCAAACATCTTTGCTCATGCCTGTCCAGAAAAACGCGGCCCCAATCCTTTCCAGCGTCGTTGCCACTCCACGGTGACCCGCGACCCCAAAATGACCAAGTTACACAAACACGAACGTGCAGCTCTGTTGCTTTGTCCGAAATCCAAATTCTGTTCTTTGTGTCCTTCCACAACCTATCTGCAGTAGATTGGACCGCGCCACTGGGAGGTGTCCCTGCGCCCTGAGCCGCCACGATGTCGGTCACCGTAGGCCACAGGAACGACTTATCAAGCTGTGGCGATAGAGGTAACTCCACATGACGAATTGCGGACACTGTTTTGTACGCTGACACCCAACGTGACAGCAGGTCTGCTCACACGTTATCATCCCCTGCAATGTCGTAGATCTCGTACTTATAGGCCAAGAGAAGTAGTGACCACCTGTACAGCTTATCTGCCGTGTATCGCGGCACAGACTTGGATACACTGTGGGTATCGAGAATGTAACGTAGGTTGCGGTGGTCGGTGTACAGGGAGAAACCATCCGGTCGATGCAGCAGATAGTATGCTCGCCGACACGTTTCAATGATTGCATAGACCTCTTTCTCCACAACGACCCACCATTTCGCCGAACAATTGAAAGCCCCGCCGAGCATCAGCTATGGCTGATGATCTTGCTCGCTTAGCGGTCTTATGGCATGATCCTGCGAAACGTGAGTTATTGCAGCGCCCCAGTGCTCGTCACTGGCGTCAGTATACACACATAGTCTCTTTGTTGGGTCGGGGTGTGCTAGCTACAGCGCATGTTGCAGTGCTGCTTTGCAACGACGTAAACAGTCTTCTTGTTCTGGTCCCCAGCCAACGTCACTCAACAGCATCTTTCGGACCTGAGTCTTAGAGCGACCGCCTGCTTTTTTCATACACTCTCTTCATAAATTATAACAGTGGGTCGATCAGTTTATTATATGCTGGGAGTGACGTTCGCATCCAGTTCAGAGCACAAACGAACTGTTGCAGCTCTTGGCCTGTGGCGGGCGGCTGAAGGTTCGTCAACGCCTCCACTCTAGCTGGATCGTGCCGCACGCCGTCATCGAACACAATGCGACCGCTTCCCGCAAGTAGTAGGAGCACTTCTTGGAATTCTACTTTAGGCCTTTATCCGCACAAATAGTGAGCACCTTCTTCAGTAAAGCTACTTCATCAGTGTCATTGTAGCCCAGAAGGACATCAATCAATATCAAAAGTCCATTGTTGAACACCCGGAGAACATCTCCTGTACCGTAGATTACACGTATGCCACGCTGTTGGTGCCCCACCATGAGCACACGAGTCGGAGTAATCACTCCTTCCTCCGTCGAAATCGAATAGATCTCCTGAGAGAACGGAGCCATGGCAAACTGCCAAAACCCTTTGAAGCAATCTAGTGAAAAGAAATGTGAAGGTCCACGTCAGCGATCAAAAATCACTTCAAGAACAGCGATCAAAAATCGCTTCAAGAACAGGCATGGCCAGACAATTTGCTCCACACACTCATTGGGTCCCCTAACATCCACTGTCATCCGGTGGGCTCCAGCCTCAGGTTTGTTCACTACATGAGGTGGTGAGCGCCACTTACTCGGAGGATTTCGGTAGCACAGTCCTGCAGCGATGAGCGCGTCGATGTGCCCCTTCAAGAACCCTCGATGCGCTTGTGCGTATCGACGAGCACAGCACCGCACAGGAGTGAAACCGGGTTTCAACGTAACCTCCATCGACGGCATGTTCACAGGAGAATCACGGCCGATCACCAATCGGAACACGTCAGTAAACTGCTTCCACATCTTAAGAAGTTCTTCTTCGACAAATTCGGCTGACGCTCCCAAACTACGAGCTTTCTCCACTTTTTTGAGAAGAATCTCCTTTATCTGCTGACGTTCAGCGTCCTTATCATCATCAAATACCGGTAAACAAGCCTGGACCTCGTCTTCACTCATAACAGTCTCTTCCTTTGTCGGTTCAGGCGTTAGCACAGCTGTACTGTACGCCAGTACGCTCGCGCCAAAATTGGCAGTTTCTTCACCAACACCACTCATATCCCACACAGACTGAGCTTGTTGAGCAGCGGCGAGTAATTTCCCCGGGCTGTAACCGAGCCGCTCCATAATTTTATCGAGACAGCAGTAAGTCACCAACCTCGGGTGGTAGCCGCTGCTCCGTGACCCAACAAACCACGTTTTGCAATACGAGCGGGCCACCTGGTGTCGAAAACGTTATAATGAATCTTGAATTTACTCTTCACAGCCACTGACTTGTCCCCGATACCTGTCACCGCGGTACTTTCCGGTAAATCTTGACGAGCCAGCCACTTTCCCTTTATGGATAACAGCTTCAGGAGCTTCGTCATTACCACAGACACTTCCGCCGCGCTATCCGGCGTGATATCTGTGTCTACTGCATTCATCACAACACACGGGATCGCTGGTGAACGTGGCCTGGCCACACTCATTATTGGTGCTGCCGCCAGCACAGGCTTCAACACTTGTCTGCATGTGCTTATCTCGTACAACGCCTTTACTTCAGTATGGCTAGCGATGTTTGGGCTCTGGAAAACACTGTGCGTCTGATCTTCACACTTAAAACACTTTTTGTCCGACTTAAGAGGTTTTTGAGCGGTGTCTGACTTCGGCATCCCATCTCCTGCAGATTTACCAGACCGCTGTCCCGTGCCTGTCGAAGTTTTGTTACTAGTACCACGTCCTTCCCTGAGTTTTCTTTGAGTTGCTTCCAAATCCTGGATGCAATTCAGCCTTGGTGCTAGTTTTGGCTTGCGCCGGTGGCGAGATGTGGGCTTCAAAGCGCATAAAACCCTCCAGCTCACTGCGAGCCCACTTCAGGAACCTTGTATATTTGCCTTAGTCTGCTTGTGCGTTTGACGCCCCAATTGGTCCTTCACAGCAGCCCTGAATGCTGGTGGACGCAAGGCCTCCACCAAGTATACAATCACTTTCCACATCTACTTGCATCACATCCTCCATGTTCAACCTGTCGACTATCTCGTAGAAGTCAACCATGAGGCGAGAGAGTCGAGACTCCGCATCTTGTAATTCCAAGATCATACGAAGCATCTTTACCTCCTTATCCAGTGTCTTGTACGCGGTGTTGTCTGGTAGGCGTGCCGACAGAAATTAATCCCTCCATTCCGCTTCGGTCACATCCTTCTCGTTTTTAACCTTTATTACCCAGCTGGAAAGTCCACACGTGGGATTTGAAGCATTAGTCAATTATATGAAAAAATGTATGGGAATGGATTTATACCTAAGTAGAATGCGCATGCATGGAATGACAGTCTCGGTTTGTCTTGAGCCCACACACGCCGAAGAACTGGCTTATAAGACAGAGTTCGGCGACGTCATAAACTTCTATATGATGGTGGTCAAGCTAAAACACTGCAGCACGAGCGTAGAATGCAACGACCTCAAATAGTCAAACTGTTCTTTTCGAAGTTTTCCGCTATTGACGTACACGACCATCTACGACAAGGATGCATCGAGATGGAGCGAACATGGCTCACCAAACAGTGGCATCAGCGTATATTTGCCACCCTTTTTATAATGATAGTAGTCGACGCCTATCGTGCTTACCAATACGAATCGACGGCTGCAGGCTGCCTGGACTCGACCATCGCAAATTTCGATTCGTTCATCTCGCAGTTGGCCCACCAACTAATCTTCAACGCCTTTACAATGCAGCGATCAACGCGTCCTGGTAGTAGTACCGATTCTTCTGGAGTAGAAACCCTTCTGACGCACACATTGCGGGCATTTAGCTTTTTAGCTCAATACCAGCGTCTTAGTGGAACGGCTTTACGGGCTCAACAAAAGTGTGGAGTCTGTGGAAAGAAGGCATCGTTGGTTGCTCAGGCCCACGAGGAAGAGACGTACCACGATTGAAAATATTGCATTTTGGCTTGCCAACAGAGTGCATAGATCGACTGGCCTTTTGGAGTTTTGCTTTGTAGCATTTTGAATGAGCCGCGAGTCGACCCATTCGAAAACCGGTCTTTCATGTACTGTTCTGGATATTCTCGCGAGGCTGTATTAACCATTCCCATGTAATATATACCGCAAAGTGCCTCGAGCCGGACTAACGTTTTGACAGAAGAGAAGGCACTATCTGCAACAATGGTGCGCCCTGTCCCTTTGTACGGCTCCGACAGTCGAAGCACAATAGCCGTTCCCTCACCGAAAAGAGCTTGATATGGTTTCTTCTTTTGTCGCTCCGCTCCTTCAACGAGATCTAGACCCAATAGAGCTCCTGAGTCACCGTCAGCTATAGCCTTCAACTCAGCACCAATACCCTCCGGTTTTCTCGGTATCTTCGTCTTATGGGGGGGGGGCCGTCATGACAGTGCTTTGCTTCTCTGCCTTGCCATGCATTCATACGTTCGTCAATGCACATGATCTCACCTGGCGAAACTACTCCATGTCGGCGATCATAATAGTGTTACCTAGAGCACGAATAGGCTTTCATGGTTCATCGGAGATCACGTCATCTGCAAACGACAATGCACCCGAAATGTGTTCAAATGTGTGACGTGATACACCAAAACGTTCTCCAAAATCGGGAGGAATTCCAACAAAGCCCTCAGGAATGTCTTTTCCCAGTAGGTTCGTAAAGGACCTCGTCTAGGTTCTACTGCCATAGCTAGTCGGACTCCAAGAAACCGAAACAAGTCCCCTTCTGCTATTATACGTTGACGACGGGCCGTCAACTTATCGTTTGTGTGCTTGATCGTACTCTGAATTGTCGACCACGAATACATTAAATAGAAGTACTTGATAAATGTTTTTTTTTTTTTACCTAATTGAAGGGCTGATGGCCAACGGACTTGCGTAGTAATGCTGCCGAATCTATTAAAACGTTTGAGCAGAATTCCCAACTCCGGTTATGTGCGAGTACTTTTCCATCATCCAATATTTCAGGCGGTGCTACTTCGGAGGCTGCCGAAGTAGAATTCAACTCGGTGCAGTCTTTTTTTTCTTCTTCCGATTCTTCAGAATTCGAAGAAGATGATGTTCTACTATCTTCTTCCCCCACGCTGCCCAGTAAAAGTGACGTCATTGGTCCTTCGGATGCCTGGTGTGGCTGTGTTGGAGCGTTGAAGGCTTGCAAGGCCTCGGTTCAGCGGGCTGAGACCATTTTAACTCTGCCGTCATTCCATTGTACATCGTACCAAGGATGTCGTTTGCTGCTGTCTATCGATAGGACCACACATCGCAAAGGTCGGTCGATTTGGTATTTCCGCGTACTCGATCTCCCACAGCGTGTTTCGGCATGATGAAAGCTTCGTATGACGTCGAAAACAATGCGCTGGGCTCCTCGTCTACGTTGTTTTATTTAACTTCTTAACTGACTTTGTAAACTTTGCTGAGGACGACGGTCTATTTGTAAAAGTAAGCCCTCCCGTTGGCGCAGAAGCCCACGCATGGGATCTATGGGGAATAAAGGTTAAACAGCTCAAAGCCGCAGATCCTCACCATCGTGCTCTGCTCAATGCATGCACTTAACGGCATGACAAAGATCTTCGCTTGAGTACCTTGATTTACCGCCTTAAGACGTCGTTTGTAAATAGCGTAGCTGTCCATATAGTCACGCTTCTCCTTTTTGAGCTGCCTCGGTAAATAGGCGGGACAGGCAAGTTTGTCGCTGCCGCCACGGTGAAGGCGGGTGGCTCTGGAGCTCGCGGGTCGCTCGGTGGTGATGCACCTTGAGCGAAAGCTCCCCATCGCGCTTGCAAGTGCGACTACACCGCCTCTGCAAGGCTATTAATCCGCTCACCCCTGCAGCCCCACGGCCTCTTCAGCAGCCTTTATTAATAGCAGTCGATACGGCTCCTCCAGTGCTCATCCATCTGTTTTTTATTTCCTGTTGCTTCTCTAGCAGTGCAGACTGACGGTCGTGCTGTGCCTGCAGATATTCCGACGTCTTTGCCGCCAGATGCTCTTGCTGATGCTGCACGTGAACGAGTTGGGCAGCCGTCATCTGCGGTACCGCTGCAGATTACTGAGCCAAAGCTTCGACCTGGCGACTGGTCTCGCTGCCTTGGATCGCGACAGTACGCGTCATCGTCTCTTGAGCCAGCATCAGCTCTTGATCTGTGTACGGGAGCAGCGGGGGATACGTGGCAACCGGTATCTGCCTCTCCAGCTGAGGCACCATCGCTTCGTCGGGCTTCTCCATGCTGGGGCTACTCCCAGCTAAAAACATAATTTGTTGTTTGTCACCTTCAAGCAAAATGTAGAAGTAAACTTGTTTATATTATGTACTAGCAATATGCATGACTACTGAAAGGTCGACCGTTCTGCAACCACCAGCTGAAGTGTCGTCCGTCGTAAACTTCAACGTGCTGCACTTGTACTACAGCAAGTGCTGTTACCGCTGAGCTGAAACCTGCACTTTGTAGCATTAGCGACAACAGGGCCCCTGGTCCAAATGTATTTATGGCTTATCTATACCAATACTCACATACTCACATACTCACAAATATTTACTAATGGTATAAAGTTATTGTAGGATCTATCGACATGTTCTACTTGAAAGCTTTGTGAGTATTTTGCTATCACCCACACTTTATCTAAAATCTATCTCCTATTGATATTAGATGAACCAAACGATGTCCCGGTCATTGTTTCGTGTAAGACAAAGCTTTTGCGGACATACTCGACACATTTTACATGAATACAAGTCATATGATCCACTCGCTAATGTGACTTCAGCTGGAACGCTCCAGAGTGTGACACCATACAAAAATTATGACCCTTTATTGATACTTAGCGCGCAACTGCGCAAGCGATGCTATTTCAACTATGCACGCTCTAACCGGAAAAGTATTTTTGCTGATGCGGTCATAGTCGTCTAAGGTAATTCTTGACTCAGCTACTTCTGGCTTTGGTTTGGGAGTTGGTAGAGAGTAGTAATCATCGTCGATCTGAATCGGCTGTGGTTCTTGTGAGTCTATTTACTGGACATCCATTGCGTGGCTCTGCGTATAATACAACGGAAGATAATGAGAATTAAAACTCAATCTCACAACAGCCAACATCTTTCATTATGAGCTATCCGTATTTGAATGGGTGCTCCCGGCAGAGCAACTGATAGACCCTCAGAATAAATGCATTTCGATGCGGATCGGATGATATAAAACGACACCAAAAAGCTTCTCCCTGGCCAAACACTTTTACAAAGAACCCGTCGTTAGTATCGTAATCACCGATTACTTTATAGTCCAAATTTGTGAGATCCATGTCTACTTTGATGCGATCGATCATAAATTATCATACTGATCTTTGAAGAGTTTGTAGAGCTTATCTAATTGATTGTATTGCGAATACTAGAGCCAAAGAACACTATACTGCCCACAGTGTGATTCTGTATTTCAACTTCACGATAAGAATAATACTTTGGTATCACACGTGGCCTAGGTAAGCCGAGAGGATCGAAGTACGCCTTATGCTTGTTTGATACTGCTAACCAATGAGTACCGCCGATCTGAGACGTTCCCATGTTTAGAATACAATAATCTTTGCTTCGGTCTAAATGCTGCTTGAAATCAATTTGATCCACTTTGACGCCAAGGAAATTGGCAAATTTCATGATTGATCATCTGTCGCTCTAGACAATTTAATTATTCTTTTTTCGCTCATGGTGCTTTATTTTTTTAGCAGTATAATATAATCGTCATCAATACAATCACATAATACTATGTCGTCTGCATCTGATATTTCTGCTTTTGAGCATTCCGTTGAACCAGCTCCTGCTGAGACACTCTTCCGTGATAAGAAATGGACATATAATCAGAACATAACGTCTAACACCGGTCAGTATACCGGGCAAATCCAATTTAATCTTTTAACGATCTCTTCGCAAGCTGCATTTGTCAATTGGGAAGAAGCCGTTATCGAGCTTCCAGTCAAGCTTCAAATTCTTAATGGTGGTGCTGGTTCGGTCACCTCGACTGCTGTCTGCACTATTGATCAATTGACACCAAAGGCCGGAGAATGGCAGCTCATTGACAGTGTTCAGGCTGTTATTGACGGAACCACCGTGCAAACGAATCATTTTCTTGATTGTGAATACAACGTTCAAGGCTATCACTGAAACGGACTATAACACGTATGTGAAACATGGTCCAACCAGCAACTTTGTACTGGATGAATATACCACGCCAATGATTCAAGGGGCTTCCGCAGCGGCTCAATCGCTTGAAAGCTTGGCTACTTCGTCGTTTTTGACAGCTACTAATAGCGTGGGTGAGTTTGGATTGGCTAACACATTCTCGAACCGACGAGCCGCCGAACGATCGCTCTTTACTGCTCTTGACCAACAAAGCTCGAAACTTGCATTCGATGTTATGGGGGGCAGCGCAAATCTTCAGGCTGTATCGAAATCTCAAGTGTATGTGGCTCCTGCTAGCGCCGTTACTGCTGGCTCGCCATTTTACGTCGCTCATTATTTGGCTTGCATCAAATTGCAGGATATCTGTGACTATTTCAAGAAATGCCCAATGCAGAAGAACCCGCGCGGTTTTATTTACCTCAATTACAATAGCTCATCTACTACTTTGGTTACGACTGGTAGTGCTGTCGCTGTTGCGCCTGCTTCTACTGCTAGTTTGAGCAACAACATGAATTTTGGGTGCACCTGCCCAGTGTTGTGGAATATAGTAGTGGAACAACAGCAACTGGTAGTGCAAGCGGCGGCCTTGCACTTCCTGCATCAGCTGTAAATCTTACGAGTACCGCCGATGTTAACGGTACTCCCACTGCTGGAACTGGTATCACTCCTTCGCAATCACTCTCGCGTCTTCTCGTTCCAAACTACTCGCCCAACCCAAGCGCTGATCATGCATTGGCTCAGAAGAAAACCTTCCGCCACTTCGAACGAATTACGAATAAGCTCACAGTTGCGCCAGGCGATGGCATTTTGTAAATCACCATTAGAAGGTTGTTGAACATGCATAGCAACCATTTCATAGCTAATTAGATTAGCTAAAATAAAACGCTACGAAGGCTTTCACACGTGCACGTAGATTTTTTTCCATCGATAAACCCAAACGTGTGGGTCAGGAATGGCTCACGTTTGTTGACCATTCTTGCTAACTGTACCTGGCGCGAGGGAGAGGGCTAGGCGATGCGCGCAGGCGCGTAGTCATCCAACGCCCGTGACAGCGCTTCTTCGGCTTTGCGTAGCGTCCTAGATAACGTGCTGGGCGGTACCCCGAGCGTAATACAAAGGGAGCTCTGCTCCATAGACCCCACCTAGAAGATCAGAACGAGTCCCAGCACTTGATGCAGGAAGCGCAGCTTGGGCGGGTGGCCTCTTGCCGAAGGCGGCGGGATATCGTAAAAGCAGGAAAACCTGCACAACAACTGATCGAACACCCGCCTACAGCTGTATAAGCAATGTTAGACTAGGAACAAAATACAGTCATCCGAAAGGCCTCACCTGGTCAGACTCGTAGCATTCAAAAAGCTCACATCGGAGCCGTACTTGTAGAGCGTCATCCAGCCGGATGCGCACGGCGCATCCAGGCATTGAACGGTGAGATAATGTAACGGGGTACGTAGCCCTAAGTGTACCCTGGTTACATGAAGTGTGACACTTCACACTTCAGGTGTATGACACGTCATACTCCGGGATGTTTGGTACAAGGTACCAAGGTCGATCAAAGCCAACCATTGGTCAAACGACATTGCATTTCTATAGGTAGCTTATAGTTTGTATTAAACCCCAAACTTAACCTACCTATAAATATGCTCAGTTTACAATCTACCTTATTTACGTCACTTCGCTCTCTTTAAATAAAGAGGAGACCTGTGAACTGCCGTTCACTGAGAGTTTGTATACTCTCGGAAGATAACTTCCTCTAGCGCAAGGTGCTGTGTGACCCCGTCACACTTGGTAGCACTCGTAGTCAATCCACGCCGCCGCGGGTAGACTACCTGAACCTCTCCGAAGCTCGTTGCCATGGATAGGAACGACTTCTCCCATATGAACGACTCTCAGTTCGAGTCGGTTTGGAAGATGGCAGGCATCTTCGGGATGGAGGCCCTGCAGAGCCAGGTGGTGTCAACATTGGCTAAGCAGCTCGAGCGCGTCAATGCATTCGACGCGTACGAGCAGGGCCTCATCGCGCATGTGCGGGAGAACCAGCAGGCTCCGGCGGCGGAAGCAAATCCGCCTCACCCGAAGCCAATACGGCTGAAGGCTAAGCCGTATGAAGGGAAGGAAGGCGAGAACCTTCACTTCTGGGTCCGAGAAGTAGAGCTCGCGATGGACGCGGCTCTGATCTCGACCGAGCAACTGCGTGTTGCTTTTGCGCTCTCCAACCTTAGCGGCCGTGCTAAGAGTTGGGTGTACACACGGGAAGCAGCATCTTCTGGATGTTTCACATCCTGGGCTCAGCTGTGCGAACAGCTCCGATCCGCGTTTCTCCCGGCGAACTACGAGTACCGCCAGCGTTCGCGCTTCCTCGCGTGTAAAGAAGGGAGGCGCGAGCTGCACGAGTATGTGCAAGAGATACGGGAGCTCACGGCGTCCCTAGTGGGAAACCCACTCAACGAACACATCAAGATGACTGTGTTCATGGACGGCCTTCGAGTGGGCCTCGCACGCACTCAGCTGTTCCGGGTGCAGTCAAGCACTCTTGAAGAGGCGATTCAAGTGGCTCGTCAAGAAGAGTACAGCCATCGCCAGGCGCGTACGCCGGCCTCAGCATGTCCTGGGAGTTCTTTGTCGGCTCCCGGCCGAACGAGCCCCAACGGACCGGTTCCCATGGAACTCGGGTCCGCCGAACAGCGTGACATCCGCTGCTTCGGCTGCGGGAAGATGGGCCACTTCGAGCGCGACTGTCCTGCGGAAAGACTCCGCAGACGGTCCTTCCCCAAGCCCGTCCTCAAGGGTCGATGGCAGAAGCCAGGATCCCGGGGACAGGGGAACGCTGGGAGCCAGTAGGGGCGGGGCGCCCTACTGGGGAAGAACTAAGTCTTCGTGATGGGTGCGCGGGTGGCGCGTACCACGGGGACTTAGCCCCTGAGAGTCTTCGCACTCTCGAATCGGCGAAGAGCAGCGGCGGGTTGCTCGTAGTACACGGATGTGTACGGGGATACGATCATCCCTTTAGAATCTTGATCGATTCTGGGGCGTCGAAGAATTTCGCACGCCGCCAGACGGTTGCTCGCAACAGCAACAAGTTGCCCGATGCTTTGAGAGAAAGCAAGGGTAACGAGACGGTGTCAGTGCGACTGGCCGACGGGAAGGTCGTCACTGTCCCCAACGTCCAAGTGGATCTGGCCGTTAAGTTTGAAGATTTTGACAGCCTCGAACAGTTCACTGTTCTCGATATGGATCCATATGACATGATCCTGGGCATGCCTTGGCTTGAGAAGCACGAGCCCTGGATCGACTGGCGAGGCAAGGCAATCGGTGCCAGCCGCCCTGCGCAGTCCGACAGAGCATTGGTGAGTCATGTTCCCACCTCTGTCAGGACCCGGGGCGCCCGCAAGGGCTGCCAGGGTACCAAAGCATCCGGAAGGTGCTTGGGAGTCGTCGACGTATATGACGACTCCGAGGATGTTTTGATGGTGGCAGCGCCCAGAAGAGGCGCTGGCCATGTGGGTATCTTAGGTCTACAGGCAGGTAACTTAGTTCCGCAGACAGCTGCAGCTGTCACGAACACCGAGAATAGCGTGTTCAGAGTGGGTAACAGAGCTCCACTCACGGTCGCCCAGACCTTAACTGAAGAGGAAGACGTTAGATACGCTTCCTGTGTGGGTAACACAGTGCCACACGCGGTCGCCCAGACCTTAACGGAAGAGGAAGGCGTTGAACACGCTTCCTGGGTGGGTAACACAGTGCCACACGCGGTCGCCCAGACCTTAACTGAAGAGGAAGGCGTTGAACACGCTACCTGTGTGGGTACCATAGTACCACACGAGGCCACGAGTGCCTCGGATGTCGTAGTGACGACATCCCTAGACGTGGGCAGCAAAGCTCCCCGTCACAGTCGCCGTCGTCAACGACGCCGCCACCGCCTCAAGTCGGATCCGAACTTCGTTCCGATCGACGTCGCTTCAAGCGACTCGGAGTCCAGGGCCCGGGCTCCTCCGACAAGGCCGGTGGAAGAGTGTTATCACATCTTCGATGGCGAGACCGGTTTACTTGTCAAGGCGTCTGGTGTCCACTTGGAACCGTTGCCAGAGGTTGCAGAGATACTGCACCTCGAGAAAATGATGGCTGGGTCTTTCCTGACCAACCTCAAGGCTGGAGAGATGGTACTCATGAGACCTGAGACCACTCGGGAGGAGCTGAACCTCTCCTCTGTTTTGGACGAGAACGTCCTGGAAGACCTGAACAAGCAGCGTCAGGCGCGCTTGGGTTCTGGGATTCTTAAGAACCCCAAGGATCCGGTGTATCCTTTAGTGAAGGAGTATGCGGACGTGGTGAACAAACACCCACCGACCCAACTCCCACTGGGTCGAGGCGTACGGCATGAGATTGATCTCGTGCCCGGCACAAAGTATTGTGTCACGAGGCAATGGCCTCTCCCGCGCGAACAGTGCGAGTTCATTGATGCCCTCTTCGCCGCGAAAGCGAAGGCAGGCATGGTGCGGGAGTCGAAATCCCCGCACTCGACGCCGACTTTCTGCGTTCGTAAGCCGAACGGAAAGTGGCGTCTTGTTCATGCTTATAACATGCTGAACAACGCGACAGTGTCGATCCAAACACCAATCCCACGAAAGGATGTGTTGTTAACCAACCTGGGCGGAAGCGTACTGTACAGTGCGCTGGATTTGGTAGACGGATACTACCAGATCCTGATGCGAGAGAGCGACATCCCGCTCACCGCGGTAAGCACTCCAAGCGGCATGCTTTGGGAGTGGCTCGTCATGCCGCAGGGCTTGTCTAACGCCCCGGCGACGTTCAATCGCCTGGTGACGCAATTGTTCAGGCCACTGCGTACCTTCGTACAGACGTACTTCGACGACATATTCGTCCATAGCCGTGCCGAAGGAGGCAAGACGGCCATGGAGGTGCACCTAGGACACCTCCGTCGATTGTTGGACGTAATGCGAGCGAACAAGCTCTACGCCAATATCGACAAGTGCGTTTTCGCGTCACCAGAGATTAAAGTTCTCGGTTGCTTCGTAAGCAACGTGAGCGTTCGGGCTGACCCAGACAAGGTCAAGGCCATAGCAGCATGACCGACGCCCCGATCCCAGAAGGATCTTCGAAAGTGGTTGGGCTTGGCCAACTATCTTCACAAGTACAGCGCAGGGTACGCGGGCTTCGCTAAGCCTTTGTCGAGCCTCCTTCAGAAGGACGTCGACTGGCGCTGGGAGCAGGAGCACCAGGATGCTTTTGACAGCATCAAGGCCAGTCTCCAGGAGGCCCCTGTCCTGGCCCTGCCGGACGAGACGAAGCCGTTTAGCGTCGTCTGCGATGCCTCCGATTACGCCATCGGATGTGCATTGCTGCAGGCCGACACGGCTGGACACGAACGAGTCATCTCGTTCCAGTCCAGGCAACTCAAAGCCGCCGTGCGGAACTACCCTGTCCACGACAAGGAGCTCCTGGCAATGAAATATGCCCTTGTGAAGTTTCGTGTTCACCTTCTGGGCTCTAGGCC